TTCCACAGCTTCTCCTGGGCTGTGCAGTGGGGCTGAGGGACCTCCACAAGGGTGAGGCCACCCACTGGACCCTCAGGTTTCCATCTACCCCAGCACATCAGGACCCAGAGCATCCTTGCCAAGCCTGTAGCACCCACTTCTGCCATGCCAAGGGCAGGGTCACCTGGTGCCACTACTCCCTCCTCATCAGATGTGCTGCCTGGCTCAGGATCACACTCAGTATGGGCCAGGTTCAGCAGCTCCAGTGTTGGAGCTGTGCCCCACTGCCCTGCCCCTCATTAGGTCCTTTCACAGGACCAGACACACAGGGGGAACTTGGTTTCCACTGTCCCACAAGGTGCAGGAAGATGCTGAGTCTTGTAGTGAGGTATAACCACCTCACTTCTACAGTCATGCCACAGTGAAGCTTCAGGCTGAAGCCTTTATTTCAGGCAGAGCTCCACAATAGACAGCAGTGTTGCTTTGTGACCCACAAAGCAGCAAAGTCTCCAGGACTTGGCATGGCCAAGACCAGCAAAGTCTCCAGGATCTTTCACTCCACAACCTTCCACATTAGTTCCAGCAAGAGTCTTGAATTCCTACAGTGCCAGATCCTCAAGCAGAGCTATGAGGAAAGACAACAAAGCCTGAACTACTCTTAGCTACTTCCTAGACACCTCAAAGGGCATCCTTCCTACTTTGGTGAGGGCAAAGCAGAGACCTAGAAAGGGAACCATTGAGTTTGGCCCTTCCTAACTTCCACAGGCACCACCAAAAATCCATTAATTCTGAGGCTATGGAGGGAAAGTCCTGCTCAGCAGCTCCTCAGGAAGACTCATTCTGAAGCTGGGTCTCATTTAATAGTCCAGGTGGCAGGAGAAAGAAATTACCCCATCACAGGGACTAGTTGAATTGGGATGTCAACACTCAGACTCACATCTAAGAAATTTAGATTTGAAAGAGTGAGAAAGGAGAAGGAAGCTCCTTCAGAGGGTATTCACAGGACACAAGGAGATAATGGGGAGATTCCCACATCCCTCCTCCTGTCAGAGCAACTCAGTGCTCAACCCAAGACCAAGAGGATGTCTGGGAACACATCAGTTCCCAGAACCCCTGTGTGCATGGTGACTCCAGGGTGTCTGCTCAGCCAACAATCTGTCACTGACAGAAAGCTGCATCTAACACTTAGGGGGCTTTTAGGATGCATGCAAACAGCTCTGAGGCACCGTCCTGCCTCAGCCAGGCCAAGTGCAAGAGGATTAGTGAGCAGTGACTGTAACTACTACAGCTTCATGCTCCTCACAGTGAAGAGCAGCATCAGAGGAGACATTTGACTCCAGAACTCACACTAACCTTATTGGTTTGCAGCTGCAGAGCTGGAATCCACACATGCACGAGGTATCTAGGTCCACTCAAGCAGAGATTACAGAAGTCAAGAGATGCCTGGCACCAGTCCATGAAGTGCTACAGACATCCAGCACATAACACAGCCCACTCACCAGCAGCATTCCCAGGCAGTTCCAGCAGCCCTGGGGTGCAGCAGCTAAGGAAAAAGGGACGTAGGACTTGCTACTGAGGAGATTGTCTGCAAGCCAAGAGTCTTCTGCCTCTCCAACAGAGAGTTTTCTAACCCACAGCCTTTCATGGACCAACAGGGAAGATCACAGAATTACATAATTATTTGGTTTAAAAGGGACCTTAAAGACCATCCTGTTCCACCCCCTGCATGGGCAGGGACACCTTCCACTAGACCAGGTGGCTGCAAGTCCCATCCAGTTTGACCTTGAACACTTCCAGGGACAGGGCAGCCACAGCTCTCTGGGCAGCCTGTGCCAGGACCTCACCCAGCCACGTGGAATTATTTCTTCCTAAGATGACCCTCTCTGGCAGAGCTTAGCCAGGTCCTCACCTGGGCTCTCCCAGCACACCTCACATTTAACACTTCCCACCTTCAGCAGTCTGGGATCCCCAAGCTCTACCTCAAGAGCAGCAGCCATGGAGCTGCAAACAGGCCCTTCAGACCAGCCAGAGGACACACAGGATAACCACAGACTCCAACTGCCAGTTTGAGCATCTATGCAGCCAGCTCCAGATCCATCCTGCTCGTGGTAGACCTACAACTTCCTGCTGACTTCCCAGGAGAGCAAGCACTAATTTCTAGAGTAGAACCAACATGTCTGCACCAGGCACTCCGGAGAGCAGGGTGAACACACCGGGTTTTATTGCTATGCAGCCGTGGACACAACACCCAGTGTCCATGGGAAGCATGAGAGCTCCTCCAGCTGCTGGAAAAAGCTCTGTCTGCCACAGGGGTGGGAGTGCAGCACCTAGGCCTGTCCCACACTACCCTTCAGGACTGCCAGGAGAGATGCAGCCACGCAGATCGGTGGCTGGGCTGCCTGGAAAATTAAACAGAAGATAGCAGCAAGTGGGGAGGGATCGCGTTTGGGGAGGTGTCTGGTGAGGAACAGCAGGGACTGACATTAGGCCCTGTTTGTTTAACATTCCCGTTAACGACCTCGAGAGGAGCGAGAGGCATTCCTGTCCTCCGCATGTCACCAGCCAGGAAGCGGCGGCTGCGAGATCCAGGGGCTCACAGATAAGATAAAGGGAAAGGCTGAATTTGGGAGCTTCGCCCCGCTGTATCTGGGGCACACGGCGCCCTTCTGTGAGCGCCTGGGGAGGCAGCGAAGGAGGTGAATGGTGGGGGGGAGTGGGGGGTGGAGGAGTGTCCACAGCGCCAGGATCTGGCAGTGTTATCCATGCAGTGTGGGAAAATGTTCCAGCACACCCTCCTGCATATGTTGGGACTGAAGGATTCCACTTTGCACCGAATGTATTTATCGCTCTGTATCAAGGGGAGCTTCTGGGCAAGAATTTGGGCCCCCGGGCCGTGCTGGAATCCTGAATACAAGGTCACTCCTTATGCCTCCACTAGCCTCTGCAGTGAGGAACAGTTCCTGGTCAGCCAGGAGGTACTGGAAAAACAAGCATTCAGAGTAGGCTCAGGGTAGCCACCATGGAGCCCAAACTGTGCTCACCACCCACAGCGTTATGTCTGTTGGATTCTGGTGGAGAAAGGACTTTCCAACAGCAATCCCACCAGGGACAAGGACATTAACCCCCCAGCAGTCCCAGCCTGACCCAGGTGGCAGGTCTTTTGCTGCAGCCCTGGTGCAGGAGGACAGACACACCCAGCGAGAACACAGACCATCCACCAGGGCAGACAGACCGAGCCCCTCCCCGCACGCTCCTGGAGGCTGCACAGCAGAGAGCAGGAGCCCCTTCTGTCCAACCCCTGCACACTCCCCAGGGATGCCATCTTTAACTCAGTTTTCCAGCCATCAAGCTCCACTCCTGGGAGGACCAGCCTCTCCAGAGGGTGAAGATTTCCTGAAATGCTCCAGCACCCACTTTGCCAAACAACCACCCGGCAGTGGGGAGCAGACTGGCTCTTGCCCAGTACCAGGAGCTCACCTGACCACCTGTGAGGCACCAGCCCAGCTAGAGCAACACCACTGGGATGGGATACACCAAGTGGCACCAACCTCAGGGACCTTCGCACACCAGTCAATAACTGTATCAAGGAGCTGCATAGAATCTTCTGAGTGCTCATGCACAGCCTGTGAAACCCCCAGGTACCAAACCTCCCTCCAGCAGGAGCGGCACAGGGCCCCAGGTGTGGCACAGGGCCCCAGGTGTGGCACAGGGCCCCAGGTGCTCAGGCTCTCAGCCCACCCGGTGACACTGGGACGCGCCACCCGCTGCATCCACATCCCATTGCCTCAGCGCATCACCTATGCCCTGCTCCACGCTGCGGACAGCATCGCTCCAGCCACCACCTGCCAATCCATTCCAGGCCATTACTCGGGTCCCCCTGGCTGGGGCTGGAGCCCAGGGGATGGGATGGCCCCAAGTCAGCTGGCGTGCCGGGCCGCGCTGCCCGGTGGGTGGTGGAGCAAGCCAGGCGCCATGTTGCGGCGGCGAGAGCGCACGGAGGACGGCGAGGGGAGGGGACTGAGCACCTCCCCGGTGCTGAGGGCCAGGCGCCGAGGACTGCAGCAAAACACTTCCAAGGCCAGGCATTTTCCAGAGCCCTCTCCAAGATGGAGGGCAGCTACTAACCCACTATGGCAATACCTGCTCCAGGGGTGCAGTGATGGCATCAGCCAATGGCTCCAACAGCCAAAGCGCAAATGTGGAGGGCTGCAAGCTCTGGCATGTGGCTACAGACAACTGACCCTCACTAGCCTTCCTAGCCCTGAATCCAGCAGCATCCAGGCTGTGGCTTACAGTGGTATCTGGGGGAAGGGGCTGCCAGCAGGTCAGCTCAGTCCTACAGCCCCAGCCAGGCTGCCAGCACACACGGAGCAGGGCAGGGGCTCCTCCGCTATTGTCCAAGTGTCTCCCTTGCAACCCACACGGGCAGAACGGTGCTGGATCCAGGAGCCCTCCAGCTACGGGGACGTGGCAACAGGACACCGTGCCCACGGGCGCCGGCTGCGCTGGTTGGAGCAGGGACCTGCCAGCCCTCTGCCCCACAGGGCTACAGGGACACCGGGCTGAGCACGGCACTCGCCCTGCCCGGCCCCAGCCCCTCCTCGGGGCGGCCCGGGGACTCCAGCACCAGCTCGCCAACACCTCCGTACTCTGGCTCCTACAGCCTGGCCCCAGCTTCCCAGCCCGCAGCAGTCCCGGCATCTGGGCTCCGGCTCCTCGACGACCCGGGGGTCCAGCCCTGACACCGGCTCCTCTATTCCCCAAAAGAGGCGCTGCGCTCCTTCCCGGCTTCCCCGACGCCCCGGTGCCGCCTCCGCGGTTCCCGATACCGCCCTGCTCCATCCCCAGTACCCCAGCCCCGGTTCCCCGACGACGCTGCGCTCCACCCGCCGTCCCCCGACACCCCGGCGTTCCACCCCCGCCGGCCCGTCCTTGGTCCCGCCGCCGTCGGGACCCAGCCCCAGCCCCGTCCCCCGGCCGCTCCGGTGTCCCAGCGCCGCTCGCAGTTCCCCGGCGCCCACCTCCTCCTCGACGGTGCCGCCGCCGTTGGTGTGCTCGGTGTCCTTGTTGAGGTTGCTCATGGTGGGGTGCCGGGGCGGGGGGTGGTGCCGGCTGCTCCGGAGTTCCGCGGGGCCGAGCCGGGTGCCGGGTGCCGGTGCCGGTGCGGTGCTGGTGGCGGGGGCGGTGCGGGGCGGTGCGGCGCTGCCCTCCCGGCTCACATACGGCGGCCCGGGACGGCGCCGCTGTTAAGGGCCGGGCCGGGCGGAGCGGGGCCGAGCGGAGCGCAACGAGCCGCAGCTGCGGGGCCGACGCGCCCCAGCCCCAGCCCGAGCCGCCGCTCCCGGTGCCGCCACCGCGCACCGAGCAGCGGGGCCGGGACCCGCCCGCCTGCCCCGCCCGGGGCCGCCCCCGGCCGCCGCCGCCGCCAATCCCGGCCCGGCCCGGCCCTCCGGGACCGCGGGGAGGTTTTTTTTTGTTGTTGGGCTCGAGTTATTTTAATTATTTTTTTCCCCTCCTTTCCACGAAAAACTTTGTCAACTTTGATGAACTTTCGGGTTTCGACTTTCTTAAAGGGCCCGCCGGGCTCTGATCTCGCGGCGGGGCTTTGCCGTTCTCTCCGCGTATCCCCGAGGCGGGGAGATGTGGCTTAGCCCCACGGGGATCCGAGAGGCCCGGGACGGCATCCTTGAGACCCTCGATGAGAGCCCCGAGCCCCAAGAACAGCAGCCCTGGGAGCTCAGCACGGGATCCTTCAACTCCGGGACAGCGGCTCTGAGCCTCAGGAGAGCAGCCCCAAATCTGCCCCGACAGCATCCCCTGTCCCCTGGGAACAGCAGCCTGGTTCCTCCTGCCAGGGCAGCCCCACAACCATCCTCACGGACATCCCTGTGTGCAAAGCCCTGTTCTTGGACCTGGGAGGAGGAGCAGGGTTGAGGCACAGAATCATGGAATCCATGCATGGTGTGGGCGGGAAGGGACCTTAAATTTCATATCATTCAACCCCCCTGCCATGGTTGCTCCAAGTCCCATCCAACCTGGCCAGACATTTGGTTGCTCCAAGTCCCATCCCCAGACATTTCCAGGGATGGGGCAGCCACAGCTTTCTGGGCAACCTGAGCCAGGGCCCAGCACCCTCATTATCCATCTTTTTCCCTTTCTCCCTGCCCACATGGGTCCCCAGTTGGCCACATCCTAAAGCACAGCCTGCGGTTGGATAACATGAGCAGAAAGTGGAACACATAAACATTCCTCCATACTGCAGCCCCCAGCTTGGTCCTATGTGAGGTACAAGTGTAAAACCCCAAGAGCTTGGGTCACCCTGCCAAGTAAGAGATGTCCAGGGATCTGAGCCCTGTTATCTTAACCAACATTTCTTGTGCCCAGCCCATGCTGCTTCCCCAGCACCAAGGCCAGGTGAAAGAGGGGAAACATCATCCCTGTCCTGCCCTGGGGGTCCCACAGCCCCCCTGCACTGCAAAAGCCAAGTGTGTTCCCCATCCTCCATTGGCCTGGCTGGAGACAACTGTGCTGTCCCCATGGCACTGAATGTCACTTCAAAGTCAAACTGAGTCCATGCCTGGCTCTGAGTGACAGTGTCATTCCAGCAGGAACTCAGGTTGGTTTTGCTCATGTGAATGCTGTGAAGAGGTGTGAGCCTTGCTGGGGGTAACCACAGCTGAGTTCCCACCACACCTGGGCCCACTACCCTGTTCACGCCCCAGCCTCTGACTCCATTTGCCACCTGGCTACAGAGATGCACCCTGTGAAAATGTAACCCCAGTTCAGCCATCCCCATGCACAAGCAAAGTCCAGCACAACCCACAGCACTCTGAGTCTGGCACCAGAAAGGCAATACAGGAAACACCATCACTGAGATGGTGCCCACAGCCAAGTGCATGTGGGGCCAAGTAATTCCATCACAGGAACTAGGAGGTGTACTGGAGGGGATGAAACATCCTCCTGGGAGCATGAGCTTTATGTTCCCCTGCTTTCTAGGTTCTGGCTTTTGGCAGCAGCAGCAGTTTGCATGCAGCACAGAGGGTTTGTGTATGGAGCCCTCACACAGTAGCAAAGTGACCACTTCTTTTTTCAAGGCTTTGTAGTGAGCTGCTAAGCCAGAGAGCCTGATCCCTGCCAGGTTCTGCATGAGGGGAGAAAACTCCCACTTTTTGACTAAAAATCCCCACTATATTTATTTAAAATGCTGTCCTACAGAAGGGTTTTGGAGAGACTTCACATACCAGCTGTGAGCACCACAGCAAGAGCTCCCCCAAGCCACCCATGGAGTTCAGCACAGACAGATCCAGATCAGAGCAAGGACTCTCCTCACCCTTCAGGGATGCTGCCCTTCACCATAACTTTGTCCCCAAGACTGGGGACAGTCCCATAAGGCTGTGCAGGAATAACTCCCAGGAAGTGTTGCCCACCATTGCTCAAAGACTCTAAGAGAGCCCACTCTCACAAAGACCAGGAATATTTGCTTTCTGTGCTAATTGAGCAAAAAGCAGTGTAACCTCACAGCACTTCCTCTGTGTTTAGGTCTGGTGCTTCACTTTCTACAGACTTTGAGTGCAGAGCCTGAGGCAAGTGGAAGAAGGCACAAAAGGGTGGAAGTCAGGAGCAGCAGTGGGTTTTCATCAGACCCCCAAGGACCCCAATGCTGCACACACATGCAGAGGAGACATTCTGCCTCTTCCAGAGCAGGAAAACCCTGGCCACAAGCAGAAGAGTTCATGTATCCATCATGCTGGGGCAATAACAGTGGGTCCACCACATCACTACCATAGTGATGGCCACAACCTCTGGTTTATTTTGTAGGCAAATCCATGGCATTGGGCTGGAGATAAATATCCTCCTTGCACACAGAGCTGTATGTGGTGGCAGCATCCCTACATCCCAGTATCTTGTGGCTCACAGATCCTTTGATATCTTCATAAACATCACAGCCGGGCAGCCTCTCCCCTCCCAAAGCACTGCAGCATGTGCTTCAACACATGGAGCCCTTGATGGTCCAGCCAGCTGCACACAGAGATGTTTTCTCCCCCCAGGAACTTAAAGGGATGGAGAGAAGGTGGGAAAAATGAAGCTGCTACCAGCTTGTGCAGGTGAGCCAGTCCACCAGGAAATGGTGATGCCCCTGCAGAGATTTTGGCTGAGGATTCCACTTCCACCTGGAGGTGCTCAGCTTTAAGTATGTGATCCAAGGTCACACCAGCTGAACCAGTGCAGGAGCAGGAAACACTTGGATTTGGACTTTGCTTATCCATGCCTCACAGCAATGTATTTTTACACCAACACTTTTCCTCCTAAAGTATCACTCAACAGCATCTGGCTCTGCAGTCTGGCCAAGGGCTGCCCAGACTTTGTCCTTTGATACCATCTCCACGAAGATGGGATGGTTAGAAGAGCAGATGTGATGCTGTGACCCATTCAGCATCCACTTACCTCTCCCACATCAATTCCTCATCAGGGTGGACACATGGACAGTGAACCCTGTGATAATGTCCCACACAAGCAGCTCCAATCACGTTGTCCTGCCTGCAAACAATGAGAATGGCAGAGCCCCACCAGGGAAAAGGAGTAAAAGCTGTGAGGTCCACACAACCAACAAGGTTGGTCCAGCAGGTCCTAGAAAGGGTGTTAACAAAGTACTTGAGATAGAAACAGGTTGAAATCAGCTGAGAAATCAAGGAAAGACTTGAAATGACAGCCAGTTGTGGGCAATCTTGTGCTTTCACAAGTTTCTCAGCTTTGCATTGTCCAAAGGCTCTTTCTCATTCTTAAACACACAGGTGACCAGCTCAGGTGATAATGAGGAATGTCTCTCTCCAGCTGGGCCTCTGCATCCTGCCCACTCATTCTGTGATGCCAGACCTCCTTCACCCACCTGTAGAAAGGCAATGGATTTTATTCTGGGCATCATGGGGGTTGTCACAGGGGGCACTTTAGGCCCCTGTTCCTGCCAAGCCCGTCACAGGCAGTGCCACACTTTGGCTGAGCTGCTGGATTGTTTTTGCTGTTCCTCACTGCTTATCTGGGACAACAACTGAGCCTTGGCACTTGTCCCAGGGCAGAGAGGATGCTCCCATGCCACTTCCAACATTTCTGAGGTATGGAGAAGGGAGGATTTCCTCTGCTTGCAACTGGCCCCAATTGCTCCTCCTCCTGTCCTTGCCCAGGAGATCCCACATCTCCCCAGACTGCCCTGCTGCTTTCCTCCATCCTCTGCCCATTCCAGCTGCTGTATCCTCATGCTCTTAGTCTTTCTGGTTAATTATTCCAGACTGGGATGGAATAATATGCTATGCTGGTTGGAAAGAGGCCACCAACCATGGGACAGGGAGGAACGCTGATTTCCAAGCAAGTAGTGAGACCAGACAACACCCTGTCACTGCTCAGACCAGTGATGGGCACGTGCAGGCTGAGTGCTGGTGTCACCAGAGACTCCTTACAGGGCCTCAGATGAGTTCTCAGAGAACTTTCTGGCCACAGGCAGGAGAAGGCCTTGGGGCTGCTTTTGGTATCAGCATGCAAACATCTGGAGACTTGTTATAGCAAAGGTGGGAAGGGACCTCAGAACTCAGCCATCCAGCATCCTGCAGGACTCTCACTAGCACTGGGTCGGGTTGGTCCTGCCTTGAAAACCCCTAAGGATGGACCGACCCCTCCTCTCCAGGCGTCCATCCCAAAGCTGCACCATCCAGCAGGGAAAAAGTCTTCCCTAACACTTATCCTGACTCCCTCAAGCCATGTTTGGCTGCTGCCCCATGTTACATCATCTGCTGCTGCTATCAAGGAAAGTGTAACTCTGCTATCTTTTTACCTTCCCCTCTAGGGAGCTGTAAGCTGCAAACAGACCCCTGCTCAAGCTCTTTTGGCCAAACTAACCCAGCCCAGTTCCTTGCTGACCCCTCACCAGCACCTTCTGTGCTTTCCCCCCTCCTGTTCTGCATCTCTGTGTGACACAGAGCCTACCCAGCCTGAAGCCTCTTTTGGTCTATCTGTCTCCAAACAGCAGGGATGGCATTTGGTCAAGGCCAAGCTGAAGAGGAGCTCCCAACCCCTTCCATGGATTTGTTCCTTCCATTGGACCATTGGACCATGTGGCTACAACAGCCCTAAGCACCACAAAGGGCAGAGGAAAAAAGGTGTGGCAGAAAAATCAGTACCAGAGACCACTGATATTTGGGTACCAAATCACTAGCTGCAGTTAGCTCCATCCTGGGAGCTGTGCAGGGCTCTGGGTGGCCCAGTGGGTGCAGGGCAGAGACGAGCAGCAGTGGAATTGCAGAGTTCATCCAGCATCACATGCCTGGAGTAACTGCTTTGAGG